CCTTTAACAAAACCATTTTCTTGTTTTATAATAAATTCATTATTTTCAGTAATATTATATTTTTTAAAAAATACAAAAATAAATTTTAATATAATATTTAATGATTTATGACCAGGTGTTAATGATGCTAATTGTGTAAAATGTTCACGTTGATCAATAAACATACTATCAACTTCATCAACAATAACTGTTGAATAAGGTCGATCACCACGTACTTCTTTATTTAAATAAAATTCAGTACGAAGTAAATCACCAGCAAATTGTGTGACTGTACCATAAATAATATCAAAACTATAGCTTGAATTCTCAGAAGGATCATGACAATTATGTCCAACAGTAAGATTAAACATTTGATAGAAAGATGCAAATTCTTGAGCATCACGTTGAGCAAGAATTTCTGATGTTGTTATAATATCAACATATTTTTTTGATGATTCTAATGATAAATATACAGCCACTAAAAGAAATAGAATGTATAAAAGAAAAGAATTCTGTGTTTTTTTTTCTCTTACACATTGCTACAATAATTGATTTGCCTTCACCTGTACGTATTTGAGCTAATCGTCCTTGTTTTTTACGTTCATTTTCAATGAAAAGAAGAAGTGATAAAATTTGAATATCTCTTGGTCGTACTTGTTTAAATATATAAACAGCTTGAATAATAACAGCTATTTTATAATATTCATCAATATAATTTTGTTGAGTTTGAATCTCAAATGATGTCATTCGTATTGTTTCTTTTTCATAATATTTCATTACTTTTTTATATTGTTGTTCCAAATTATCAAGATTTATGAATGAATTCACTTCACCTAATTCTTGAAGTAATTTTTTTAATGATTTACTTTTATTTTGTTCATTAACAATTTTATTTAATTCATTCATCCATCTATTTGAAGAACTTTTAGTTATATTATTTATAATACGTTCTATATGTGATTTTATTGAGATTCGATTTACAACTATAGTTTCAATAACAAATAAAGCTTTTTTAATCGATGAAAGATTATTAAAATTTTCAGAATTAGTAAATGTATTTCGAAGCGATTCTACATATAATTTATCCCATTTAAGTTGATATAATTCTTCAAGATTATTAAGTAATCTTGTTTGATATTCTTCTAATGATTCTTCGCTAAGAAGTTTATGCCATGTACTTGTTGACATAGTTAGTGATGAAGCAAGTGAAAAAAATTGTTCTGTTAAAGTAGTATCTTTAATTGATGATTGATCCAATATACTACAATATCTAATGAAAAATTAACATGAATGTTTCATTGTTTTTTCTTTT